TAGTTTGCCCCCGGCTGGCCCTACGGCCCCATTTGGGGATGGGGGGGACATGGGGTTATCTCCATGGGGGGGGTATCTCCACCACGATGGGTTTGGTGGACAAAGGGAAACCCACTGAAGAGGAGGAGGCAGCCGGCATCGCCCGTGGCATCGCTTGGGCAGGTTTGCATCAGGACCACCCGGCTGCCCCCATCTCACCTCTCTGTATTTCCATGCAGGAAAGCTTGAGGAAAAGAGGGAAAACCCACACCCAGAGAACTGCCCTTAAAACCATCTCCAAGCCACAGCGCCAGGTGCCTCGCGCAAAGAGAGAGCTGGGGTTTGTGAGGATATTTTGGGTCTGTTTGTTTTTAAACTGATGGGGTGGGGGGGATCATATTTGCAACAGTTTGAAATAGAGCGAGGCATAGGCGCTGCATGGGGATGCTGACCGTGAAGGGGCTGGGAGCCGGGCTGCCAGCACCGCCCCAATAAAGGCAGGATCTCTTGTCACTATTTTCATCTCCTAAAGAAGCTGCACACTCGTTATTAGTTCAGAGCAGGGCAGGAAATCATCGCCTGGATTAAGGTTAAAATCCATCTCAGAAGGGTTTAGCTGATTGCTAAATGTTTATGTCCAGTGTCCAAAAATTAAAAAAAACCCAAACCCCACACCCCCACATACCACGTTAAAATAACATCTAATAAGGTTGGGTGTTACGCCACTCCTGCAAAGATCAGAGCAGTTTATCGCTCCGATGCAAGCCCTGCTGAGGCGCTTCAGAGCTGGAGAAACTGTGAGATTGAGGGCTGAGAGAACAGTCTGCGAAATTATGAATAGGGATTATCTGACAATACCAACATGTTCCTTAAAGCCCTTGAGCATCATCACACGGTCTGAGGGTTTGTTTTTTAGCATAGGTGCAGATATATATTTTAATGATATAACATCGACGGCACTCCTGCCTATTGCAGGTTAGGCTGCAGTTTCTCTTAATCTCCGGCTCATCCTCTCGTTTTGTAATCTGGAAATGTATGAACAATACGTAAGGCGTTTGTAATGGGATTAATTTATTTTGAGAACTTGTTGGTTGTTTGTTGTTTTTTCCCTTTTTTTCATCTGAAACGTGGGTGACTGGAAATCGAGCGAGTCAGTAATTAGCATTCACTTTTTTCTTTTTCTTTCTTTTTATCATACGCATCTAAATTCAGTTTAGCTCTTTAAGGAATTGCCAGACTGCCCTTGATTTATAGGCAGTGTCTTCTGGATCTGAGAGGACCTAATTCAAATTAATAATGCTTGAATCTGATTTCAGGATGTTCGCACTGTGCTATACATTTCATTAAGATATCGTCGCTTTGGGTGTGTGATATGCCTCTGTATCTACAGGTATATTTAGGCGTGGACAAGTCACGCATCCTGCAAGAAAATAACGTTGGCGTTTAGTGGATAGTGGCAAGAAAACTTTTAGCAAAGCCAAGCTAACTCGTACCGGGAAAAAAAACAAAATAATAATAATAATAATTGAAAAACCCAAGAACCTTGTTCCCACCTTTGCACAATTAGGGATTTCAGCGGCGGCAGCCCGCCGGGTCTGCGGGCAGATTTGCTTTAAGCCGCTCCGTGGCTGGCAGCCCTGGCGCACCCTCCTCCCGGAGAAGCCAGGCTGGCCGGGCCCCGCGGGCACCCCGCGCAGGCAGGGCGCAGGCAGGGGGCAGGCAGGGGGCAGCCCGGCCTCCCCCCCCCCCCCCC